TTGGTGTGGGTAATCCATCTTGCTGCAGTCTCACTCCCATGTTTTCCTCCCCTCTTTCCTTCCATCTATTCCTCCTAGAAGTGTCTTTCTATGCTAAAGTTAGTGAGACTCAGGGGAGGGTGTGAAGGCCTGACCCTTCGCTGTTTAATACAAAACGGTAAAGAAATATTTTATTTATTACCTAGTGTGAAATCTTTTTTAATGTCATTGATTTATTTTCTAAATTTTTTTCTCCAAAACTTTGTCTCAATTTAAAAAAAAGTAAAAGGAAAACAAAAACAGAGATGACAATTATAATCCAGGTGCATAAATAATGATAATTTTCTACAAAAAAAGGACATTTACTGGATTGGTTATCATAAATATCACAAAAACTATATTCAAACATATTAATGGAAAATTGAGAGGAAAGAAAAACTATGGTAGAAAAAGAGAGATAACCACAGCCTTAAGTTTGTGAAATGTAGCCTGTTCAAGATTTCGTGGCAGTCACCAGAAGTGGCTGGAGGCTTCCAGACCCATCGCACATCGATGTATCCACAACATGAGATATAAATGTCACATTCCTTGTGTCAAGTTGCTCCTGAACCAGAAATGTTGCCAAAAGCATTTTACATGGCGAAAAAAGCATAAAGTTATTGTAATGCTACACTGATAGTGTAATTTGTACAAAAACAGCAGTGTGAGAATACTCTCAAGGCCGCAGTTAATCTGCTGCTTGTATACCTTCTGGAATTTTTCCTTCCACCCAATTTTCCAGTAATATGCTTGAATACAGCTCTCTGTATAACCCTATTAAAAGCAAGACCATCAAGTAATCTGTCCCAATTTGGCCCAAAATGAAAATGAGTTCAACACCGCTGGTGTAGGAGACGAGGATTACATGCTGCAAAGCGTTCGGCATCTTCTTCATCAAAACAAGAAGTGAGGTCATATGTTTTGACAGAACAGCTTCCAACCTCTAGTGCCAAGATGCCCTGAAGCTTCCTTGGTCTGCATGTGGAAACCCGGCATTTTGGTGCGGCTTGCTCCTTTAATTTGTCAGAACGTTTTTCAGAAATCACTAAGTGCCAGCAGAGTGTCGGCTTGTTGGCTCGGTGATGATGAGCATCATCCAGTTTCAGATGGAGAGGTTATTATGTCAGACACTTTGTAATTATAACCACTGAGACGTTTGCATTTACTTCATTGTGAACAGCCACTTTTACAGTGATCAAAGTGAAAATTATCACCTATTTTATCAAAAATACTGATTATAATCTTTTATTTTTCCTCTGGTGGCATTTTGAGTTGAGCAAAAATACTTCAGTGTGATCTGAAGTTGAGCATATAACACTTCAGGAATGCTACTGCCAAATTTATGCCACCAGTAGGACTAATAACTTTTCAATTTGGATTGTTTTCAGCACAAAAATACATTTGTAAATGTATATTTATTGATTTGCTTTTGACTCAATAGGTCACATGACATAGAAGCTATTGAAGAAAAATACTAAATTTAAACAAAACAAAAAATAGGTAACAAAAATAAAAAAATGAGTCAAAATGGAATAAAAATGCATGTGCCTCATATATACAGTTTAGTACAACAATTACACACAGATTTTTAGTCAAAGTAGCACAATATGGAAGCTATTAAGAGAAATATAATATTTAATACTAAAATTACTTAAAATATTCAATATGACTTGACATTTTAATAAAATGTAGTGTGTCTCACGTAAAAGCATGAATTGCCACTTTTTTATGTCTGTAAATTATCATTTAAGAGGAAAGAAAAAATGTAAATATACACTTACAAAAATGTTTGTCACCATTAAATGAAAGCAGTTACACTAAAAGTAAGTTATTTTATGCATTTTAACACAAAACTCAAACATTTTCATGATGTGCTTCAACTAAAAGTTAAAGATTTCCTGCAGTTTTTGGGTTTATCTTCACAGTAGCTCTCATTCATAACTGAGAGCTCCATAAAGGAAAGCCCAGTGCTTCACTGGTGGCCAGTGCTGCTGAGGTTCAAGAACGCTTACAGTTATTACTGTAAGTTACTGTTTGACGTTTATGTCTCAACCAGCATTCAATGTCAAAACCACTCCGGGAAAAAAGACTCCATTATCAGCCACTTGGCTGCAAGTCCAAGATCATAACATGGGATATTACATCTTTAGAGTAAGAAGGAGAGGAATTTGTGATGTGAAAAAGGTTTGAGAATAAAAGCCCAACTCTGTAAACACAGCCTGGTGTACAGCAGGAAATAAAAGTAAACAACAACAAATTTAAACTGTTTAAATCGGGCCCCTCAGGGTCCATCTGCTGAAAGTAATTGGAAAGTTTAATGGCTGGAGGTTATTCTCTGAGTCTGATTGAGGCACACAGTGGGAACAAACAGCCAATTTAACTCTGGTCTCTCTCTCTCTCTCTGACTCTCTCACACACACACACACACACACATGCACACACACACACACACACACGCACACACACACACACACACACACACGTACACACACACACACACACACACACTTTTCGGTTTTTGAACAGCCTTTATGAATTATTACCTCTCCGTTTCTTTTAACCTCTATCTCAAGCAGATCTTTTTCCTCTTTTTTAACTTAACTCCTAGTTTATTTGCACCCTCTCCTCTTTTATATGCTGGATTGAAGAATGATAGCAGAACTAAGGGAACCCGGGTCCGCTGAGATGGATGACAAGTATTAGAGTAAGCGGATGATGCTTATGTCTTCTCAGTATGCGGTTGGAGACTGAAAAATTGAATATAGTCTAGTGGCAGACAAATTGCTTACTTTAGATTTGTTTAAAGAACCAGCACGATCACACAGGAGCGATTAAAAGTAAAAAAAAAAAAAGTACCTGACACATAATTGGTGCAGTAAAATTTGCCCTAGAGTCAGTGCTGTCTAAATGTCATTGTTGTTCTAGTTTCACCTTCTACCCTTCACAATGCTCTGACACAATAGACTCATAGTCCTCCTGAAAGTACATGCACACACTTCTCTGTTTTCATCCTATATTTAGCATTAGACAGCTACCAATTTAAGTAAGCCTGGAATGTACACGCACACACACGCGGATGGGCACACACACGCTTGCTCAGTGGAGCAGTCTGAGACAGGAACATCATTACAGTACTTGTAAACAAATGGACCACAGAAAAGGCAGAGCCCAGGCCATGGCTCTTTCCCTAAAAGGAAAGAATTGGCATACACTGACCCCCCAAACACACTTACCTTGTATTTGTTTTTGTTACATAACCCTTTTTCTACACAGTTTCCATTAATTTTCGACTTTAGTGTTTATCATTGGTGATAGGGTTGTCTTTAAATTGCATGAAGAAACAAGTGAATTCCTACAGGATTGTAGATCTTGTTCATACAAAAATACTACTAGCCTTTAAAAATGTAAACATTTTAAACATGTTTTTGTTACATATAAATTATTTAAGCCTGAACACCATTTAACTGCATTTGCTTCACATTCATCAGTCCCAGAAATGTCAGTGTGTCATCTCTGACACATCCACAGGCCCAGTGGTGAGTTAGTGAGCTTATACACCATAAATAAACTGGCTGGCCATTACATACACTCCACTGCTGCAGCAGAAACACACAAAGGTGTATATCTCATTCCTTTCTAATAAAACATCCCATCAGGAACGGTCCAAGTTTTTTTTGGATTTCCATTTGGGCCCGCCACACCAACATGACAACACCAGATGCTATGCAATTCCTTAGCTAATTAGCAACAAGGCTAATAATAGTAGTTATGTTGCACACATAGAGAAGCTTACGTCATACTAGTGTTATCCTAGCTACTAATTTTAACAGGAGTTGCAAACTAAGATAAGTATAAACTAAGATAAGTATATTTTCAAATGCACCGTGTTTTTAATGTGTGCCATATTATTTCAACTATTTGACATTAACATCCACTAACACTACATACCACTAAATCTAGAGTAAACAAGTTAAATAAATATCTTGTATTTGGAAATAAATATCTTGTATTTCCACAACAGTAGCAACAGCAGAAGGAAATTAACCTATTATTTGTGTAACAACTATTAAGCTAATATAGAAATAACTGTTCACATGCTATAGCATCTTGTTTGTATTATTAAAGGTGTATGTAAACATAATGGTCTATGCTTTGTGCTCTTGGGGGCCCCCTGGTGGTGCGAGGCCTCGAAGCAGCAGCTTAATTTGCACATGCGCCAAAATCGCTCGAGCCGGAAAGAGTAGTCATTTGTCTTTGTACAATGGCGGTTGAAATTCAGAGTGGCACCGAAATATTACGTAGTGAACGCTTCTGTAATCGTAACAGAGGCTCGGATGTCTTTGCTTAACATTTTGTGTTGAGTTTCTATTGAAGAAAACATGGTGGCAGCTGATAAGACAGACGTGCGTTGGAGTCTCTTGCCTTTTTTCCCCCTCTAACGGTTGCTCTGAGCAATGGCGGGTGAAACATTGAGTGTCTAGATTCTATTTACTGAAATCAACAAAATGTGTCCGTGGGCAGCGTTTTGAATCACCAGATAGTTCAGAGGTGTTGTGAGTTTCAGAAGCTAGCTGGGCGCTGACGACAGTTGCTATCAGCAGTAGTTTCGTTTCACCAGAGCCCGGTTTGACGACCTGCTATGCTAACCCGCATCCTGTATGGCAAGCCGTTTTAACATAAATTCGGTTTTGCCGCCCTTACATTCCAGATATCTCAAATTGTTTCCGCCCTTACATTCCAGATATCTCAAATTGTTTTATGACTAGACATTTTTGCAATTTAAGATATCTCTAATTATATTTTGACTAGACAAAATACCTATTTGAGATATCTCTAATTACATTCTGACTAGTCAAAATGACGTCAGATTTACCATTGATTTGTATGGGACTTCAATTCAAGATATCTACAATGAATTACTGACTATCTGAAATACACATTTCAGATATCTACAATTAAATTATGACTAGTCAAAAAGTAAATTCAAGATATCTCGATTGTAGTTTTGACTAGTCATAATTCTAATTAAAGATATCTCTAATTAGTCCATAATTCAAGATATCTTAAATGTATTTTTGGATAGTGGAAATGTAGTTTTGACTAGTGGAAATTAAATTATAGATATCTTAAAAGCAAATAATGACTAGACAAAACTAAATTAGAGATATCTTGAATTATAATATTGACTAGTCAAAATTCCTTTTAAGATATCTCTAAATGAATTAGAGATATCTTGAATTATTCAACTTTTCTATTTAAGATATCTTAAATGAACATTCTGACTAGTCAAAATTACGTTACAGATATCTTGAATTAGCGTTCTGTCTAGTCAAAACGTCACTGATTTACGTAGCATTTTGGCGGACAGGGCGTACAGCATTCCAGCTTCAAGCTAGTTGACTGTTCAGCGGTTCACAATGTCAGGTCAGTCCAGCTCAAATACTCGTGTTTTTAACACAATATTTAGCGCGGCAGCTCGTGCTCGACATGAATTAAGAAATACTGATAATTTATTTACAGCAACAAGAAGACTTTTTCGGCGTCAGGTGCAGAGAAGTCGAGGTAAGTGGATGTTCAGATGCCGGTTCATAGAACTAGCTTTCCAGCCTACGTTAGCTTCATGCTCGTGGAATAAAGAAATATTGGCAAAATTTAAGTAGCTTATTTATTTAGAACTGGAATTGTCTATAAAATACGGAATAGTCCAGTATTTTAGCAAGTAACTTTTACGTCCCTTATTGAAGCGATATGGGAAGCGATTTGTTGCATATGATTTCTTCCCATATCGCACCAGCAACGGAGAGCAAGTACACCAGAGGCGGGTTAAACCTGGCAGGTAGCCAGTCTTTGTTCATTATGAGAAATCAAATTATTGGCTTTCACATTTTAATTTAATTTCACAATTTTCATAATTACGTGAGAAGCCGTAGTGGGCGTTCCTTTTTTGAAACTTGTGAAAGGTGGCAATCCCAGTTAGCACACTCAATGTTACAGAATGTCAGTTAGCATGAATGGAGCATCAATGGTGTGATTCTGTTGTGTTCATTGCAGGATCGGTCGGGAGGCAGCCAAGTGTTGTCTGGAAGACAAATATTTTTTTGCTTTCTGGCCCTAATGTTGATGTTCTTCCTTCTCCCTCGGATGTACGAAGACTGAAAAACCATGGATTAGGTGGGCATATTTTTTCAAAAATGACATTATTTCATACACCCGCGTAATGTGACAGAAGGAGGCACTTTTGCTTTTAAGTCACCACTTTATCATAATTTTACTCTTTCACCAGAGTCACTTGGCGGGCTGATGAGTTTAAACTTAAATGGCATGTTCTTTGTTATTGTGTTTAACATTGCTTTGTCGCCATTGATTATTCAGGCGACCCTGTGCATGAGGGGACAGAAACCAAGTGCTCCAAAATCAACTTGACTTGGAGCTTGTCGGAATTGAATAACTTTTTGTGTCAAAGCTACCCACACATCAGTCTAAATCTGGTTGGCTTTGAACTGGCTAGAGCTGGAAAAGGACGAAAGATAAAAAAACTACAAGTGAATTCTGTGAGGGAGCTGAAAGAAAAGATTGGCAAAAGCAGGCTCTACATTCTACCACGAGCAGATGTGTCACAGGTATGATTGTTTTGTACACAGAAATTATTTTATGTAGTATGGTATATCCAGGGTAATATCTGCCACCATAATTTGAAATTTCTTGGACATGTCTAGGAAACTTATTCAACCACAGCAATGCCCAGGAGTTTGTTTCCAGAACCCTCAACTGCATCAGAAGGACAGTTGGTATTCTCAACCTCCCCGGAGGTTGAGAATACCAACAGACAACATTTGGGGGAAGAGCAGGTCATTAATTTCAAGAACAATATATATATAGTTTTAGATATTTTTTCTGATGTTGACTCTGTGCTGTATTCACAATAGACACGTCTAGATCGGCGATCTCTGCTGTCCCAGCAAGATGAAGAGTATGAAGAGTCTTTGCTCGCAGACCAAGAAAATGTGAGTTAACATTTTTGTTATCATTTGTTTTTGCTGTTGTTGCTCACAATTTTTTTTCTACCAGGAAAGGAAAAGACAGTGTTACAAGTACTGGGAGGAAAGACGCATAAAAGTAAGAAGTATTACATTGTTAGAATATTTGTAGTTTATGGATTACCTAGAGGTTTTAGTGCTCATATTTTAGGCAATTGAAGAACGGCAGCAACGACTGGTGGTATATGAAGAACCGTCAAGTGGACTGCTGTTGAAGTTCAAATATCCGAATGGATTTATCAGAAAGAGAACTTTCAATGTGTCTGACCCAATTCAGGTAATCTGTTTATTCAGAGAATGTATATTAGTTATTTTCAAGTAAATGTAACTGAAATTGCATTACCCTTTTTTTGAAGGTCTTGTTTGATTTTGTTGAAATGGCAAGTGAAATATTCAGTGTTCAACAAGCAATATCATCCACACCAATTGACAGCACCTCATCAGGGTCACTTATGGATCATGGCATAGCAACATCTGTAACTCTGTACGTGCTTTGGATTTCAACTCTAGAAATTCAGGTAAAGTAATTAAGCCCAGATCCCATACGATGTCTTCAGTATTTTTTCCCCCAAAATGTTTCGAAATGCTGCAGCTAGACTTTTGACTGGATCCCAGAAATGAGAGCATATAGCACTTCTCTGCATTGGCTACCAGTTTATCAGATTGATTTTAAGTCTTTTATTGGATTTTCAAACTTTACATGGCCTAGCTCCAGCTTTTGTTCAAGACCTTCTCACGACCATTCCAGTTCTAGAACACTTTGGTCAAATAATAGCTTGCTTACCTATTCCTTGGACCAGGCTGAGTAAGAGCGAATAGGATCAGCATTCGCTGTCACTGTTCCTAATCTTTGGATAAACTTAACTTTTAACATTAGATCTACCCATAGTCTGGAACACTTCATATCGCTCCTTAAAACTCATTTGTATTCTTTGGCTTTTTGTAAGGCCCGACATTGTAATGTACTTGTCTGTTTTAATTTGTGTTTTATTCTTATGTGTTTTGTCTGTGCTTAATGAACACCGTGCAGACGTTTGGTGCAATAAATATCTGTTTTGAAAGTGATTCATGAATAAAATTGACATTGACATTGGCATGATTAGGTTTTTGTTTTATTTTGCTTAAGAAAGGTGTCCAGTACAAGCGAATGTATGCTGGAGCAGTCACTGTCTTCTGTCCTATGTCTACAGACATTGCTCTCTGACCAAGCACTGACATCTTTGTCAGCCCAGTCACCACAGGCTCCAACATCTCCTCAAGTGCTGTCGACCAGGCCCAACTCCCCAGAAACATCAACTTTGTTCTCCTCCTGGGCAGCTGTGTCCCAGCCCTCCATTCAAGCACAACCAACTTCTGAAGTTCCTGTGATTGCAACCTCAAGGCTGCCCCTCTCCCCCCACTCTAATCTGGCTCCACAGGTGATGTTCATTGAGGACCAGGCACCAGCTTCTCCATTTACTGAGCTACCTATAATTCTACTGGAAGACCAAGAAGAGCCACCTGAGTCTCCACAACATCCACCAGAGTTGCCTTTGGATGAGTGAGTAAAAATTGCATATTCTGGCAGTGTCTTATGTAATTAGTTTTGACAGTTGCAAACCATTGTTTACTCCAACAATACACAATAAAATATATTTTCTTTTTACAGAACAGATCTTCAGACGATATTAGCAAAAATATACAGCAAGGTTGATATGACTTTCTGTCCTACAAGCAACCAAATAAATGTGTCCAGGGACAGAATTTTAGAATGTAGCCTGCATGCCTTCAGAAGACGCCGTTTTGATCCGGCAGCAAAACTGGATGTTATTTTTGTGGATGAAGAGGACAACGCTGAAGGGGCAGTTGATGAAGGTGGTCCCATGCGAGAGTATCTAAGACTGTTAATGAGGGCCATTCATCAATCTAATGTCTTTGAGGGGCATGAGAATAACCGTCAACTGGCTTTGGATACTCATGGTCAGTATTCTTTCTCCCCCTGCCCCCCAATTCTTAAGGATAGCTAATTGTCAAGTAAATTATTTTTTCTTTAGCGCTGGAGTCAAAAATGTACAACCTTATTGGAAAAATGATATCAGTCTGTTTGGTGCATGGAGGCATTGGACCACATTTCTTCTCTCAAAGGCTGTATGACCAAATTTGTGGCACATTGTGTCAATCCACCCTGGTTGAGGAAGTTGTTAACCATTCATTCAGACAGCAGTTGATCGGGGTAAGTAGCAATTTTAAGCATTTTAGATATTAATCATAAGCTTACATTCAGTTTCATATCATGTTTTGTCTTTTTAGATTCAGGACACAAACACAATTGTGGAGGCAAACGAAGCCATTATGCAGGTAGCAGATACCCTGAGCATGGTTGGAGCATTAAGGCGTGTAACTACTCTGGAAGAGAGGGACTCCCTTGTGCAATCTGCTGCAGACTTCTTTGTAAATGGCCGAGTGAGCACTGCATTGCAACAGTAAGCAAGATCCTAATTTTTTGTTTTAGAAATCTTGTTGTATCTAAAAGTAAGGGCATATTCTCTTTTCTTAAAGGTTTGTGGACGGTTTGAAGACTCTTAATGTGCTAGATGAAATTCAGAAAAACCCTGCACTCTTTCATGAGTTGTTTGTCTGTGCTGAGAAACCACTCTTGGCACGCGACCTGTACACACTTTTCCAAGTGTGTTTTTCTGTGCAAGGTAGCAATAAAAGGAGGATAGAAAATCAAACCATATGCTACTGGAGAGACTGGTTGGTGGATATTGAAGGTACAATTACTTTGATATTGTAAGCAAAACTGGTATCAATTACATTTTGTGACCGATTTATCACCACTGTCCAAAAAGAAATAGTTTGAATATTGAGGCACATTTTTTAAATGGCTAGTCACAGGACCAAAATGAGAAAAATCTCTTTCTGGGAAAGTTTTTGTTAAACTGCCATAGAAATGATCTGTTTTTGGCCAGTAAATATATATTGAGTAATTTGTTGCATGACATGAATCCTTTTACATGCCATTTACAATGATCATGCTTAGTCATGGTTTGGCTTCAAAATGTTTATTGATTTATATTTACTAACAAGAAATGCATTGTCATCACCAATATAAAAAAACTGAGGAGGAACACAAACAGACATGCAACACATTTTCTTCCATGTCTTTAAGAGTACACACTGGATACCTTATAACAAGGTAATAATTTCAACATTTTGTCTTTCAGAAGGAGAATGCAGTCCCATCACCCTAGAGATGATACTGCAGTTTGCTTCTGGACCATCCACGGTACCTCCACTGGGCTTTCCCCATCACCCACAAATTGAACTCCTCCACCAGGCTAACAAAGTCTTTCCAGAAGCAAATACATGCCTTATAGTACTCCGCCTTCCTGTACACCCAGACTATGAGTCTTTCACAAAGTACATGAGTGACAGGGTGCTGCAGGCACCTACCTTTGGTATTGCGTAATCAGCTAATAAGTGTAATAAGCAGTTCTTTGAAAAAAAAAAAAAAAAAGAGTTGGAATGTCTCAAAAAGTTACATGTTTTAATGTCTCAAAAAGTTTAATGTTTTAAAGCAAGTGTTTAAAGCAAGGTAATTTAATTGCCAAATTTCGAAAATGTTAAAATGTAAATACAATATATATGTTTATGCAAAGAATAGATGTCTTTTTAACCACTTTTTGGTTTCACAATTTAAAGGTGTATGTTTGAACCACACTGCAAAAATGTAAGATCTTACCAAGTCTTTTTGAAATACTTTCTTGTGCAAATGTTTTTGTGCACTAAAGATAAAACTAACTTACATGTAACTTTTCATCAAGAAAAGAGCTTGTTTTGAGTCAATAATTCTTTATTATTGTTACATTTTATAATTAAATTTGTAAGGTTACCTACTCATGTCAATTCTGAGTTATTTGTAGTAATTGTATCTTCAGAACAATGCATTTGTTTGTCACTTCTCAAGCATAGTGACAGTTACTTAAATCAATAAAGCAATTTCTGCACAACAGGCCTGGTATTTCTCCTTCAGATCAGAAATATGATTGATTGCAAGATCAACTGATTGAAGTTGTTGCTGACTGAGGCTGGTTTGGGGTGGTTCTACAACTACACTAGGAACCTCTTCAGCATCAGTGGTTGGAAGGAGCCCAAGGCCATGCTGTTGCAAAAGTTCTTCAAGAGTCTCTGGTGTGCTGGAATTTTCACCAAACACGTTGTTAGTTGCTGTGCTGTTGGCACCCATGTTTGCTAACATCCGTTCAGTCCAGATTTGTGT